GGACACAGCCGGACAGGAGCGATTCCACACCATTACCACCTCTTACTACAGAGGGGCTATGGGAATAATGTTAGTCTACGATATCACAAATGCCAAAAGCTTTGAGAACATCAGCAAGTGGCTCAGAAACATTGATGAGGTGAGTGTCTGTTCCGGCACATCCTGCTGGTGGCTGTAGACCCCCAAACTGTAACTGAATCTGTGTGTTGTATGCATTCAGAAAGACTGTAGGGTAGCAGAATTTACATGAAAGAAATCTCAGCATAATCTATGTTGTAATTGTATTGTAAATGGCATTCTAATGTAGAGTGGGGGGCCCTTTTGCCGATCTGTTGAGAGCCCAGAGTTCTAATAAGCTGGTCACATGATGTATGCTTAATTGAAAACCGGAGGAATCGGGAAATCATCTCTGTCCTTGTAATCTGGGGCTACACAGATATGGCCGCCTTAGAGTCCACTACAGACGTTGGGATGGGGACACACAACTCACCAATTATGAGAGCTTAGGACATGTTTTAAAAGTGAGCAGTAACGGGCACCAGGACCTCTTCCAGAAGTTCCTTGTTTCTCCTACAACCTACTGTCAAGACTCCCTTTTTATATATCAGGCAGATGCCCTCAACAGTTTTCAGGTTTTTGGACAGCTGGCTTCAAAAGTCTAAACCCAAAACCAAGACTATAATATATTGCAGCTTACCATTCCTCATGTTGTGGCTCCTTTTCGTTTTCTTTTTTTTGTGTGCGTTTTTTAGGGGTTTTTTTCTGTTTGTTTTTTTGTCGTTTCTTTTTGTTTTTGTTTGTTTTTATTATTTTTTGTTTTTTTTTTTTTCTTTCTTTTTTTTTGTGTTTTGTTTTTTTTTTTTTGGGCCTTTTTACCTTTTTTTATTTTCACCTCATGGTCCTGCAGGGAAAACAATTCGATCTCATTGTGGTTACACTCAGTCCTCCACTGTATCTGTGAAGGAAGCCGTGGTTGGCACCCAGGCTGGTCTATATACATGTCTGCCTTTCTTCATCTCATACATTGTAGCTGATGTTTGCATAAAGATGAGGTTGTTTGTGCTTTTCTTTACTCCTTTAACGCTGACCACCTGCAGGCCCTTAACCACTTCCCGTCCGGCCGTGGTATATAAATGGTCGGATGGTGGCAGTGCTAGGGCGGGTGGCCATTTATAAAATGGCCTCCCCGCACCCTGCTTGTGTGTGCTCCCTGGGAGCATGCAGCACCGCGATCTGGTGCCCGCTGTGTCCTCCAGACACAGAGGAACACCAATTGTTGGACGATACCACTGTGTGAGGTCCCGATTATGTGATCACTGATTGGCCAATCAGTGATCACATGCAGAGTAGTAAGCAAGATGTCACTTCTGACATCATTGCTTACTACGTGTGAAATCTGTGATCAGAGGTCACATGGTACAAGGCTATTCACAACAGCCTTGTACCATGTGACAAGCTGTGACCAATCACAGCTATCACAGTATTTCTCAATGGCTGCAAGAATGCAGCCAAAGAGAAGGAGAAATGATTGCTTTTACAGCCTTTATGGGTGTAAAAGCAATCGGTGTTAAAAAAAAAACAACAAAATCTTCATCACCCCCCACAAGTAGTACTGTCACTATGGTGGTACTGTACTGCTAGGGTGACAGTATGTAAAAAAAAAAAAAAATATATATAAATGTTTAAAAATTATAATTTTTGGTTATAAACTAATTTGGGTTATTTTTTTTTTTTTTTTACTAAAAAGATAACGGAATAAATTTTGGCCAATATTTATGATTATATGCTATTTATTTGCAAAATTTTATAAGAAAAACACTTTCTTCAAAATTTTTAGACTTTCATTTACATAGCAAAAAAAATAAAAATCCCAATGGTGAATAAATACCACCAAAATAAAGCTTTTATCTGTCTCAAAAAAAAGATAAAAAATTCATATGGGGTACAGTGTTGCATGACCGTGCAATTGTCATTCAAAGTGTGATAGCACTGAAAGCTGAAAATTGGCCTGGACTGGAAGGGGGTGAAACTGTCCGGCCTGGAAGTGGTTAAGGGTTCTATAAGCCGGGAGGTGGAGACAAGCCTTTGGGTCATGTGACCACTGTGATTGGCTGTCAGTGGTCACATGATTGGAATGCTCCCGATCACAAGGAATGACACAAACAATAGTTATTTGACAATTCAATATAAGCTTGCTTGAAAAATCTCCTTTCATGTTGTGATTTCTGCTTGTCTGCTGATTCTCTTTTCTTGCTGGATTTCCTGCATTTTTGGGTCATGAGAACAGATATAGAGGAGAAATCTTCCACTGGGGACACTGGTTCTAGAGACAACTGGGGGGGGTTCCCTCGCTTTGGATGGATTTCCTCTCACTTCCTGTTGTGGCTGTGGAACAGGAAGTGAAGGGAAATCTTCCTAATACTGCACAGATGGCAAAAACTTGAATTGTAACCCTTCCTTACGTGATTCAAAAAGGGGGGAAAAAAGTGTTGCCTTCAGTTCTCCTTGTTCTGTTTTGGGTGCTTTAGAAATGTGTGTTCATCAAACTGGAATTGTGCGTCAATCGCAGCACAGCGTGGATAATGAAGGTTGTTGTTCAATGGCGTCCCCAAATGCAATGAGATTCTGCCACAAACCGTGCCTTTAGAAATCATGCGAAGCTTGTTGCCCAAAAAGTGACATAAAGAATCTCGTCACAATCGCGTTGCGGGAATGCTTGTTCTTGCTACGCGATAATGTGAATGGGAATTAATGGAAACTTGGTTTTGAGACATTGTAAGATATAATTGCTTTTTGGCCCTATTCACACTCGTGCGACAAGTCGCAGCGCATTCTTTTCATTGGCACCTGTTCAATTTGGTGCAACTTAAAGTCGCAGTGACTTTGAAGAGGTACCTGCACTACTTTGATGCCACTTTCATCCAGAGAGTGTTAAGTTGCGCTCCAAAGTCGATCTGGAATTCGTGCAACTTAAGGCTCTAATCACACCGCACCCTCACCAAAAAGGTGCAGGACCCTTTATTTTTTTTGGCCGCGCTAGAATTGGATCGAATGGGTATTCACACCTATGCGATCCTATTTTGCACGCCGCACCGCATTTTGCGGACCGATTTTGGGGTGTTAAGTTAACATTCACGCCTGCAGCGGTTCACATGAACGAGGTGCGATTTCTGATGCGGTGCAGAATTCATACATCAGAAATAGAGGAGCTCTGCACATACACTTTTTGCCAGCTTGGAATTATTCTTATTTTCATCCTACTACTTCTTCCGGCAAAAAGTGTATCTGCAGAGCTCCTCTAAGTGTATTTGCAGAATGTCATTTATGGAAAAAAATAGATACAATGTTTCAACCGCTGTATGGAGTGAATGTCCCAGAACTGTCAGAAATAGACAGAAACTGTCACAGAACTGTCCTTCTCATCCTTCTCCTTCTCATCCTTCTTCTCATCCTTCTCCTTCTCATCCTTCTTCTCATCCTTCTCCTTCTTCTCATCCTTCTCCTTCTCATCCTTCTCCTTCTCCTTCTTCTCATCCTTCTCCTTCTTCTCATCCTTCTCCTTCTTCTCATCCTTCTCCTTCTTCTCATCCTTCTCCTTCTTCTCATCCTTCTTCTTCTCATCCTTCTCCTTCTCCTTCTTCTCATCCTTCTCCTTCTCCTTCCTCATCTCCAAGGGCATTTAAATTAAAGGTACAGTGTTCTGCACTAATTTAAAGGCTCTCTGAAGCCTAGAAACCCTTTTTATAAGTTAACTTCGTAGCGAATTAATTCGCATCGAATCGAATTTCTTCCTGAAATTCGCCGAATCAGCCGAATCGAATTTTTTGAAAAATTCGCTCATCTCTAATGGTAAACAGAGACAAATAGAGGGAATCTTCTAAATGGGAGCATAGACAACAATAAAAAACTGACAGGGCTTCTACTCCCTCTCCACTCTAAAATTTTTTTTTTTTTTAAAGTTTTGGATAGTTCTATGTTAAGAGATTTTACATACTTGTTCATTTCTTGGCTCAGTGAGGGATGATGGTTTTTGTCCCCCTTCACCGCAGGACTTCACTTCCTGCTGAGCCCTGTGACACGTCTACACACGTGCGGGTTTCCACTGTGCAGCTACTATGGAAGACTCAAAACTCTGCCGTCTGAAATGTCCTGTGTGTGCGCACAGATGTGCTGAACTGCTCTGCCAGGACTCAGAGGCCAGGCAGAGCCCCATGGCACATCTTTGCACACACCATTATGGCGACACCAGAGGGGGTGGCCGAGCCCCTAATATAGGGACTAAAGTTCTTTTTTAAAGTGGTTGTAAGGCAGAAGGTTTTTTACCTTATTGTTACTGAACCCCGGACCCTGCATTCATTATATCTGGTCTCCCCGGACCCTGCATTCACTATATCTGGTCTCCCCGGACCCTGCATTCAGTATATCCGCTCTCCCCGGACCCTGCATTCACTATATCTGGTCTCCCCGGACCCTGCATTCACTATATCTGGTCTCCCCGGACCCTGCATTCAGTATATCCGCTCTCCCCGGACCCGCATTCACTATATCCGCTCTCCCCGGACCCTGCATTCACTATATCCGCTCTCCCCGGACCCCCGGACCCTGCATTCACTATATCCGCTCTCCCCGGACCCTGCATTCACTATATCCGCTCTCCCCGGACCCTGCATTCACTATATCCGCTCTCCCCGGACCCTGCATTCACTATATCCGCTCTCCCCGGACCCTGCATTCACTATATCCGCTCTCCCCGGACCCTGCAGTCACTATATCCGCTCTCCCCGGACCCTGCAGTCACTATATCCGCTCTCCCCGGACCCTGCAGTCACTATATCCGCTCTCCCCGGACCCTGCAGTCACTATATCCGCTCTCCCCGGACCCTGCAGTCACTATATCCGCTCTCTGCAGTCACTATATCCCGGACCCTGCAGTCACTATATCCCGGACCCTGCGTCACTATATCCGCTCTCCCCGGACCCTGCAGTCACTATATCCGCTCTCTATATCCCCGGACCCTGCAGTCACTATATCCGCTCTCTCCCCCGGACCCTGCAGTCACTATATCCGCTCTCCCCGGACCCTGCATTCACTATATCCGCTCTCTCCCCGGACCCTGCAGTCACTATATCCGCTCTCCCCGGACCCTGCAGTCACTATATATCCTGCAGTCACTCTCCCGCCCCCCGACCCTGCAGTCACTATATCCGCTCTCCCCCCCGACCCTGCAGTCACTATATCCGCTCTCCCCGGACCCTGCAGTCACTATATCCGCTCTCCCCGGACCCTGCAGTCACTATATCCGCTCTCCCCGGACCCCGCAGTCACTATATCCGCTCTCCCCGGCAGGGGACCTGAGAGAAAGGGGAGGATCTGGACTGCTCTGTGTAAAAGCACTGCACAGAGTAGGTAAGTATGACATGTTTGTAATTAAAGAAAAAAAAACTATAGTATCCCTTTTAAGTGGAGATCCACCTGATTAAAAAAAGAAAGTCAGCAGCTACAAAAACTGTAGCTGCTGACTTTTAAAATACAGCCACTTACCTGTCCCTCGGTCCAGCGGTGTCCTCACCATGGCTGGTTTCACCAGCTGTCTTCTCTCCCTGGTGCCGGCATCTTCAGTGTGGGCACCTGGCTGTGGCAGCTTGCGGGTGCCCACTGCGCATGCGTGAGAAGTGCTGCAATTTTTTTAATGGTCCTGTAGTCTTCTGGGACCTGTCGCGTGTCCCGGAAGACTACAGGGGTAGGGAGGGCCACTTCCGCTTGCAATCGCAGCGGGTATCTGTCATACCCGCTCCCCAAAGGTGCTAATTCTTAATGGGGTGCAGGGGACAAAGGCTTAAAGTGAAACTTCCTCTTTTTGGGTGGATCTCCGCTTTAAGTCCCCGGTCATACTTGGTGCAACTTGACATGCATTTGCCATGCCATGTGACTTCCAAATCACATGGCAAGTCGCACCCTATTGTCAGCTGTCATATCTGTGTGTTTTCTGACGTGGTCGGAGCCCCGCTGATTTCTAAAGTAGTACATGCGCTACTTTTGGTGCGATCTGCATAGACATCTGTGTCTGATGCCTTGCAAATTGCACCTCAAAGCGGCATGTCATCTGATTTTGAAATTGTGCAACTTCGCTGTAAGTCGCACGTTTTCAAAGTCGTGACCGGGGTCACACAATAAAGTTGAACAAAAATTTTTCAAATGAGTGATCATACAATAATCCGATCATTTGTATACAACTTTCAAGAGCCCATCACAACGGTTCATGCGACAATAACCGAAGTCCCTTTTTCGGATACCAGATTGTATGATTTTCCTTTATTCAGTATTCCTCTGAGAATACAGTACATGACATCACTTCTGAAGTTCTATTCTGTCCAAGAATTTTCGTACGTTGAGCAACCTTTTCGTTTTCGATATGGAGAAAAAAAACGGACCATCGGGTCTCTGAAAATGGTCGTCGGGTCTCTGAAAATGGTCGTCGGGTCTCTGAAAATGGTCCTCGGGTCTCTGACGTGGTCGTCGGGTCTCTGACGTGGTCGTCGTGGTCGTCGGGTCTCTGACGTGGTCGTCGGGCCTCTGTCGTGGTCGTCGGGCCTCTGTCGTGGTCGTCGGGCCTCTGTCGTGGTCGTCGGGCCTCTGTCGTGGTCGCCGGGCCCCCGTCATGGTCGCCCTGCCCCCGCTCTTCTCGCCCTGCCCCCGCTCTTCTCGCCGCGCCTCCCTGGCATTAGGATGTTCCAATTTAGAAGGGGTAGAATAAACACAGTGTAACGGCCTATCTCCGAGTCTCCCAAATCACCAGCTCTCGTTACCACACATGCATAGGCCAAATGATAAACCTTCTATTTATAAAGTGTGACTACTCGGCGTGGATGTGCAGGGGGGGCCTGAAGGACGGGAATACATGACCTGTTAGTGTTGCTCGGGTAGCCAGTGAGGAACACAGGCCTAGCTCAGTATCTGCAAAGCAGAAGCAAGTAAGAATGTTTCTTTAAATCTTGAGCATGGCAGTGTGACTCAGTGTGGTAAAGCCGATTGAGGACGCTCCGATTCCACTTTGGTTGTAGCGGCCTCCAGTCTGCGAGGAGTCTGCATTTCAGGATTACAAGCATTTTTCCACCCGCTGGGGTTGCGCAAGTTGTCATGGCACTTTTCAGGCATGCTGGACTACATGAGTCACACAGGGAGTGCCTCTGATAGCAGAGCACATTGTGTGCGCAAGGGGAGCCCGGAGCCATGGCTTGCTGGAGTCTGGTGGGGGAAAGGGTTAAATAAATGTCACATTGACAGAGCCGCTCCTGTCTTCTGCTAATGCTAGTTTCCTGGCTGCCATGCTTTGTGCCAGACTGGGAGCAAATATGCAGATTAGGTGTCCTGGCTTTCCTTGCTGCATGCTTGTTCCGGGGAGGTGACTGAGGACTGTATTGTGCAGCCGCTGAGCTTCCCTGTAGTTGTTCTCGATCAGTGAATGGCATTTATATAGTTGTTGGAAAAAAACCGGGAGAGGGTCAGTTCTAAATATAAAGAAAACATTGATTTGTCAGCTTACCCACGTGAGCGCCGGAACGTTTACCCCTAAATGACAAGGCCGTTTTTTGTGATTTAGCAGTTCGCTACTTTTATCTAGTAATTGCGCGATCATGCAACGCTGTACCCAAAATGAAATTTACTTTTCTTCTTTCATACAGATAGAGCTTTATTTTGTGATATTTGATCACCACTGGGGTTTTTCATTTTTTGCAATATAAAGGAAAAAAACTATTTTGAGGAAAAAACACATTTACTTTCTGCTACAAAATATGTCCAATAAAAATTAAATTACTTCATATATTTGTAAATTTTGCAAAATGTATTCTGTTACGTCTTTCATTTAAAAAAAAACAAAAAAAAAACACAATAAGTATATATTGATTGGATGTGTGAAAGTTGTTGTGCCTACAAACTGTGTGTGTGTGTGTGTGTGTGTGTGTGTGTATATATATTTATTTTTTTACTAAGGCCTCTGTCCGTTTACGTATGGAAAACCGGACACCCATGTATTTCTACGGGCTAGCGGATGTAAACGGATGATCATCTGTTTACATCCGTTAATGTCCATATCCACGAACATTTCTTTTTTGTTTGTTGTTTTTTTTTTTTTTTTTTGAACGGAAGAATATCCCATTTTTCTTCTGTTAACAAATAAACAAAAAAAAAACTGAGGTAAATGGACAAAAAAAAACACCGGAGGTAAATGGAGCTAAAAAAAAAAAAAAACACTGGAGGTAAATGGACCAAAAGAAAACCACCGGAGGTAAATGGAGCAAAAGAAAACCACCGGAGGTAAATGGAGCAAAAAAGAACACCGGAGGTAAATGGAGCAAAAAAGAACACCGGAGGTAAATGGAGCAAAAAAGAACACCGGAGGTAAATGGAGCAAAAAAGAACACCGGAGGTAAATGGAGCAAAAAAGAACACCGGAGGTAAATGGAGCAAAAAAAAGAACACCGGAGGTAAATGGAAAAAAAAACCCGGAGGTAAATGGAGCAAAAAAGAAACACGGAGGTAAATGGAGCAAAAAAGAACCCCGGAGGTAAATGGACGCAAAAAAAAAGAACACCGGAGGTAAATGGAGCAAAAAAAAGAACACCGGAGGTAAATGGAGCAAAAAAAGAACACCGGAGGTAAATGGAGCAAAAAGAACACCGGAGGTAAATGGAGCAAAAAAGAACACCGGAGGTAAATGGAGCAAAAAAGAACACCGGAGGTAAATGGAGCAAAAAAGAACACCGGAGGTAAATGGAGCAAAAGAGAACAAGGTAAATGGACGAAAAGAGAACACCGGAGGTAAATGGACGGGAAAAAAGAACCCCGGAGGTAAATGGACGGAAAAAAGAACCCCGGAGGTAAATGGACGGAAAAAAGAACCCCGGAGGTAAATGGACGGGAACCCCGGAGGTAAATGGACGGAAAAAAGAACCCCGGAGGTAAATGGACGGAAAAAAGAACCCCGGAGGTAAATGGACGGAAAAAAGAACCCCGGAGGTAAATGGACGGAAAAAAGAACCCCGGAGGTAAATGGACGGAAAAAAGAACCCCGGAGGTAAATGGACGGAAAAAAGAACCCCGGAGGTAAATGGACGGAAAAAAGAACCCCGGAGGTAAATGGACGGAAAAAAAAACCCCCGGAGGTAAATGGACGGAAAAAAAGAACCCCGGAGGTAAATGGACGGAAAAAAACCCCCCCGGAGGTAAATGGACGGAAAAAAAAACCCCGGAGGTAAATGGACGGAAAAAAAAAACTGAGGGCCTCTCGGGATCAAGAAGGAATTCTTTCCCAGCAGGAGCAAGTTGGGTCGTGCTTTGTTGTTGGGGTTTTTTTTTTTTTTTTGTTTGTTTGTTTTGCCTTTCTCTGGATCAGTTGTGGGTATAAGATTATAATTTTTTTTTTTTTTTTTGTGTGGTTTAACTGGATGGACTTTTGTCTTTTTTTTTTTTCTGCCAGACTAACTATGTAAATGGATGTAAACTGATGAGAAACAGATGTAAACTGATCCGTTTTTGCTTTGAAAAAAAAATGTGACTGAGCTGTTGAAAAAAAAAACGAAACGCCGTGTGAAAGGGGCCTAATGGCTAATATATATTGGAAAATATATTTATTTCTTTTTGGTTTTTTTTTTTTTGTTTTTTTTACTAATGGCAGTGATCAGCGACTTATAACGGGACTGCGATAGTATGGCGGGCAATCTGACACTGAGGTGGGAAGTGATTAACTGCCAGTGACATCACCAGTGACATTATTACAGTGATCAGTGATAATAATATACACGGTCACTGTACTAATGACACTGACTGGGAAGGGATTAACATCTAGGGCGGATAATTGTGTGCCTAACTATGAGTAGGGGTGTGCTGCTTTTTTACTAATGGCTTCTTAGTTTCTCAACCCTGCTTTGCAGGGATGAAAAACAGAGATTGTTCCCTGCACAGATATGTGGGCTGTGATTGTACACCGCTTATCAGCAGGTCCCCATTGGCCGAGACCTGCTGTGTACAATCACACTGGTATTTGGAAGACGGGGTCATGTGCACCTGGAAACAGGCAACGCCATAGAGATACATTGCTTTGCCTATGCAGGCC